TATATATATATATATATATATATATATATAAATTTAATCACATATGGAGTTGTTAACTAATATGATTTTCAATTTAAACTTCTAATGACTAAATTTACAATTTTTTCACTTAAAAGACTAATAAGATAATATCTTGTAAACTTAGAGACTAAAATAATGTTCGGTCTATGTTTTAAAAATATAGAAACTTCTGTGGGATGAAAATTGTTTTTAATATCATAATCTCATCGAATTAGCCCATAAAGGTTTTTGTGGTATGAATTTCAATTGCGGTGCTCGATAAAAGCACAGGGGCTAATAGTTAGGCAATAATCAACCTGAAAAGGCCATTGAATGGTGCAATAAAAATCGTAATGGGGTAACTGCTGTTGTCTGATTTTTTTCTTATCGTCTCAGAAACCGATTAAAATGATCCTAAAGTTCTGCTTTTTGTCCATTACATGGAATGTCATGGGGGCCATATTTCCCCCTTGTCTCCAATGTCCTCTTGACCACTATCTTAACTTGTTGAAGAAAAAAAAAATCCAGTGTTGAATGTGTTGGATGGGAATTAATTAGTCACTTTATATTGCAAATCCATGTGACTGAAATCCTGGCCTTACAATATGTTACACAAACATGGGTTGGATTATTGGATCCCTTACTTTTTCCCTAAACAAGCTGCAATTTAAAAATTTATCATAATAATAACTTAATTGATGACCATTTATTGTGTGTTGCAGAAGTCGTTTAAGCATTAATTAATTTGAGATCATGTGGGGGAGGTTCATGAGGGATCAGAACAAGATTTTGCCACATGGCACACCTTATTATCATCCATAAATCACTTTCTCAAATGGAAGGGGAAAAGCAACTAGGCAACCTCCATTGAACTGAAATCAAAGTAAAGTTTGGTAATTATCCTCTGTTGAAAACAACACCTAAATCTGACTTTCCCACTGAAAATTAGTAAACAAAAAATAAGTACACATAAAAAAAATAAGACTGTTCTGATCTGATCCTCAGCCTCTCTGCCCCACCCCAACTGCCTCTCTCTCAGAGAAGGGGTCTGTTACTTCACTTTTTCCTTTCTTGAGTTTCCTTGAAGTGTGTGTGGATTGTGGAATACACAAAGTTCATATTTTTATTTCTTTGCATCAATTTTATACTTGATCTAGTTACCAACTCCAGTGGAAAGAGTTCAACTTTCTAGTTTTTAGTTCTAAGTTCTAACCCTGACATGGAAGACTCTGAGTTCTGTTTCTCCCAATTCATGAGCTCAAATTCTCAAGACACGACTCTTCTGGCTCTTGCCCTTTTCACTAAAGACTATTGTTCTGCCTTGTTTCATAACCTTCCTTCTCATTGCTTTGGTGTCACTATATGTGGGTCTTCTTCAATTTAACCTCCGTTTGTTCTTGCTTCAAGTAATAAGCTTCCAAGTCTGTGATTTTCTTTCTCCTATTTATTGTCCTGTTGTTCTGCTGAATCACTTCTGAAGAGATTGTCTTTGGAGATTGGGATGGAGATGGGGGTGGTTTTGTCACTGATTCTGCAGCTAGTGAAACTCTGCATCATTGGCTTTGTTGTGGCATTCCAAGGATCTGAAGGTAGGTACTTAATTCTCAGAACTCTTTGGTGAAGTTAATCTTTGGCAAGAGTTGTCACAAATTATGAGAAAATTTATGCTTAGGCTAGAAGAACATGATCTGGATCAGCATACATGGTATTTTTAATTTGTATAAATAATAATGACGATGATAATAATAATATCGTAGAGAACCTAAACATCATAGCTGAGTTTGCAATCAGACTATTGTTTAAATCTTTATACTTAGAGCTGGGATAACCAGAGGTGGCATCTGATGTCTTCTTTCTGTTGTCCTCTTGCATTGCTTGCAAAATCTAATTTTGATTTGAATATATTAAACAAAAGGTAAGTTAGTGGTGGGTTTTGATACCATTGTTGCACCCTCCATTCTTGTCGTGAGCCTATGTGTCACTGGAATCAAAGTACATTGGCTGCTTACAACAGATTCAGCTGATAACTACTAGTTTTCTATTTGTGATCATTGCTTTATACAAAGAGTCCTCTGATAAGCATATAAATAGATGCATATAGGTTTTACTGGTTTAATCACATAACCATTTTAAACCAAAGAGTTTCTTCTAGTGAAGGTACTTTTTGCATGTTGATTGAATTCTTATCTTCCCCATGAATATTTTAAATCCAACGAGGTTCATCTAGTGAAGGTACTTTTTGCAAGAAAATTGAATTTTTATCCCCCCTTTAAATATTCATTATGAGAAGCTGGTGTTGTTCCCTAAAAATGTTGTGGTCTTCAATATTTAAATTTGTACATGTAGAAAAATGATTTCTGAATTCTTTCCCCTCTCAATTGAACTGCAAACCTTTATTTTTATTTGAAATTTATTTATCCAAATACACTGCAAAGTACAAACTCATCCAGAAGAGAAATATACCAACATTCCAAAATGTTAAATTTTTCACAAAAGATATTACTGATGTAAGCCCATATGCTTGTCTAACTGATCAGCATAAGTCATCAGATTTGATAATTAAGATCTTTCTGATAATAAAAAATTGGTAAATTTTTCTTTTCTCCCATGGAACTTTTGGCTTTACTGATAATATCTTCTTCAAGGGTCTGTTATATCCCCATCTCCAGCATTCCTTCCAGTCATTCATCCTAATGGAGAAGCACCTGGTCCCATCCATCATGGACTGTCATGGGGAAGCAGTGCACCAAACTCATCTTCAGATCAAAATGGTATATCTAATCTAAAATATCATACAAAATGGGATTGAATGTTGAACTTGACTATTCATTGTCATGTCCCTATTAGCTTCTACTGATATTTAATACTTCTGTGCCTTCTTTCAGGGTCTGCTATATCACCATCTCCAGAAACCATACCTGTGGATCCTTCCCCTAGTGAAGCACCTAGACTTCTACACCCAAGAGAACCATGGAGAACCCTTGCACCAAGTCCTCAAGAAGTATCAAATGGTAATCTCACTCCTTTAGTGCATTAGGTCATACTGGATTATCTAACCAAAATTTTGTGTTTTCACCATCCAGGGTCACTCTTGCCCCCTCCAGTTACATTACCACCTCCTACATCAGCTCCAACTCCTCAGAAGATCATAGGATTTGGACCATCTATATCTCCTAGTAGTACAAGCACCATAACATCATCACCATCAACTTCTGAAGGTAATGTGCCTCCATCCATACAACCAAGTCCACCACAAAGCAAAACACCTGCAATTAGGCCTCCTGTATCCACACCAATTGCTCCAGGTATGTTTGTGGCCGAGAAGTTTCTTTTCTGGGGGAACCTTCTCATTGATAATATACCAAATTCAGCTCTTTTCTTGCTTCTTGAACAGCCTCCATTGTAACTCCGTCTGGAAATTTGCCAAAAACTTCACCAGCCAGCCAGCCAATTGAACATGGAAGTTTGCCCCCTAAGATTGATGAGAGGAATAAGAGTCACAAGCCAGAGCCAGCTTTGCCAGGTATCTGATAAAAAGTCTTGTCATTTAGTTGGAATTATTAATGATGGTTTTCCATTTCATCATATCCAGCTTCCAGTTGGTATTGACGTAAACTATGCTTTTCTATTGAATTTTGATCAGCTCCAATTCCCATACCTTCTACCACATTGCCCAAAATTTCACCAGTAAGCCAACCAGCTGAAAATGGAAGTTTGCCTCATAGAGAGGGTGCAAATAGTAGTCACATGACTCACATCCCAGAGCCAATTTCACCAGGCATGTGATGAAAGTGAAAAAGTGGTTACCTGATTTCTTACTTCTGAAATTTCCTTTTTTTCATCTCCATCTCCCAGTTGGTATTGAGCCAAAAGTATGTTTTTCTAATGCCTTTTTAACAGCCCCTACAGTATTCAGTTTGCCCGAACATTCGCCAGCGAGCCAACCAACTGAACATGGAAGTTTGCCTCCAACTGTTCCCAGAAGGAATAACAACACTGGTCACACATTGGAACCAGTTTCACTAGGTAATTTTACTTGATGGTTTATAACATTTTTTTTTTTTTTTAATGCTATTTGCAGCTGATATTGACTTCAAATTTCTTCTTCTCTATGCATTTTGAACAGCTCCAGTTGCAACACCTCCGGCAAATTTACCAAAAAATTCATCAGTCAGTCAACCAGTTCATCATGGAAATTTCCCGCCCGATCTTCACAATAGAACTACAAATAATGGTCACAGTCACACCCCAGTAATGCCACGTATGTTATATAGTCTTATCTATCATCTATATAATTCAACTAGGTAAAATATGTTTAGGGTTTGTGGTATTTCAGAATGTTAGTTTTGGTCCTTATAAAAATTTAATACATTTTTAATCTCTACTTTTACTCGGATGTTCCCCACTTACATAAACTAATTTGACCTTATTATTAGTCGATGTGGAATTTCCAACTTATATATCTCTAGCTTGGACATATGTGAGTGTTCAATGAGGCAACAACAGGCCTAACTGGCCCAACAACAATAGCTAGGATCAAAATATGGATATGATAGGCTTTGATATCATCTTTGAAATATAAAGTTGAATCTAACTTAATTCTATAACATTGACTCGTGAGTTGAGTATTTCCTCACTTGCATACTCTATTTTGGTCATATCACCTATTAACTAAGATCTCCAACACCTCTTTACATCGATTGTTAGACATTTGGAACGTGAAGTTTGCAAATAGACATCTATGGGTATTTTGATAATAGTCCGGTAGGCCCAACAACAATAGCTAGGGTATGTTTTGATACTATCTTAGAAGGTGAGAGCTCATATATACTAACAATAAGTACCGTTTTTAGTAGATTGGAAGGTGAGAGCTTATATTAAATTGGCCTTTTCATTAGTAGATTGGAATCTCCAACAATAAGTACCGTTTTTAGTCTGTGATAAAACCACGTCACTTTTGGTAAATGTAGGGACTGAAAACATATTAAATTTTTAAAGGAACTAAAACAACATATCAAGATATTTTGATGGACCAAAAACATATTTTATCCATTCAACTATTATTGTTCTAAACTTCCTTTTTTTTTCATGAAAGCACAAAATCTATTGCATCCTCACCATGGAAAATTACCAAGGAATATGCCACCTATTTAACCAAAAATAACTCCATCCATATAACCTAGGAAATCTGATTACCTTATTTAATGAAAGAAGGGATAAAGATAAAACATTTAATCTGAATTTTATCCGATTATCACTTTTATTTGTCTCGCTAATTTTTCTTTTATTGAGTTCATGCAGCATCTGTTACATCACCAAGTAGTCCACTTCCAGTAGATCCACCATTGGTACACCCAGTCATACCATTACCGGCAGCAACTCCTTCAAAATTACCAGGTGCAAATTTTGAGAAAGGATTTTGTTCTAACCCCCGAGTTGATTTTGTTGTTTATTTTAAAATATGTTGCAGTGCATTTTTCTGTAAAATCATTTACATCTTTAGTCTTTCTGCTCTTTGAATGAAGGTTTAAAACCCAATCTTATGTATAATTCTATATTTTGTTGTTGTTGAATTACTATTGCTGTTGATGAAAGAGATGTGATTATATCTCTCATTTCAATGTCACATAACAAATTGACAATGTATTGGGAAATATTAATTATATAGCTCAACAATTGAATTAAGATTAAAAATGACAATTATGACTGATATGTAATGTTTCCTTATCATGCATAATTTTTGCTCCATGCAAAGTGGAATAAAAAAACTTGGTCATGAGGCTGTTTAACAGATAATTGTTTGGTGAATTATGCATGCAAGATAGTATTCACTAGAATTAAAGATGATAACATTGGGATTTGGATCCTCTAAGGTGAGTAAAAGGGTTCATCCACCGATTTAAAGTGGGTTAAATTATGGAATACTTTAATTCAAATCAAGAGTGGATTCTCCCTTACATTCTCATTTTACGCACCTCACTCCCAAGGAACTAGAGTGTGTATCATTTGCATTTAATTACTATAATTTCTTTAATTTTGTTAAGGCTATTGCACATTAATTAATTTAATTACCACAAAAATGTGGTTCAGCACCTGTTGTCTCTCCTGCAGTGTCTCCTTCCAGAAGCTTCAGTTGGAAAAAAGGTGGAGAACCAATTTCTGCACCTGTATACAAAACACCAAAACCACTACCGGCTATAGTACATTCCCATGCTCAAGGTATACGGCAACATTAAACTACTTTTGATGAGTTGCAAATTCTTAATTAGAGGATCGCTCATTGTACTAACAGCATCATTCATTCTTCAATTGACAAAAACTTAATTGGCACAAAACATTGGATGCAGCACCTGTTGTTTCTCCTGCATTAACACCTTCCAGAAGTTTCAATTGGAAAAAAGGTGGAGAACCAGTTTCTGCACCTGTGTACAAAACACCAAAACCACTACCGGCAATACTACATTCCCATGCTCAAGGTATATGGTAACCATAAACTACTTTTGATGAGTTGCAAATTCGTAAGTAGAGGATTTTGCTCATGGTACTAACAGCATCAATCATTCTTCAATTGATGGAAACTTAATTGGCACAAAAAATTTGATGCAGCGCCTGTTGTCTCTCCTGCATTAACACCTTCCAAAAGTTTCAATTGGAAAAAAGGTGGAGAACCAGTTTCTGCACCTCCATACAAAACACCAAAGCCACTGCCAGCCATTGTACATTCCCCTGTTCAAGGTATATTAGTAAGATTAAAATGCTTTTTGATGAGTTGCATATTCTTAACCAGAGGATTTCTGATTGTAATAACAGCATGAAGTTTAAAGGTTTCCCTAACAATACTGTGCACACTTCAAAATTGACACAGTAACACTGTCAAAGATCTACTCAAAAGCCTAAGCTAGATCTACTCTCTCAAAAGCCTAAGCTCGTGGAGTACCAAGAAAGATTTTATATCACACTTTCCTTCACACAAGAGTCTTGTGTGAAGGAAAGTGTGATACAAGAGTTCAATTGGCTTTAAAAGTAGACAATAACATTTTACCTGTGTATTGAAATTCCATTTAGTTATGTTGAACGGAGAGTAAAGGCTCAAATATCATGTGTAAAACCAACTCTCATATGAGAGTAAAGTTTTTTTGCTGAAGGCAAAGGAATGATTTGTTATGTCTAACAAATACAAGGTTGACATCTTGCTTTAATTGTTTTGCAAAAGTAATTTTAATTATTATCATAATTAAATGATCTTATGCACAACCATTTTTTTTTCTTGTTCAATAATTTACTATACATAACCTTTAGTTTCTGCTGATGTAAAATGATGTGGATAAGGAACGTAAATATTACAATTATTAAAACACACTAAACCAAGGTATTTCTTTATGAACAAAAGTTCTATGCAGTACCATAATTCCATTGAGTGTTAACATATATTATTAAGATAAAATTTCATTTCTGATTGAATAATAGTATCGACAGTTCTTATGGTACTATATTTAAGTTTTGTCCTTTCTATATACATACATACTGAATTGCTTTATTTATTTTCTTTTTATGCTGTAGCTCCTTCAGAACATAAAGCAAGGCAATTTCACCATGCTCCTGAGCCACTTGTTTCATCTCCTAAATCTCCTTTCAACAAAGGTCATTCTCCCGCATCTTCACCTTCAACCACATTTTATAAGCATCATCATACAAGGAACACAATCATCAGCCCTGCTCCTGCATCATCAAATTTGGTTTCTCCTCCCACTTCAAAACACCAAGGTTTGGTTTGTTAACTGCTAGTCTGCTATTGAATTGTTCCACAAATTAAGCTTTTTTTACTTCAATTTAATATATTACTCATTTTTTTTTGGTTATTTTATGTAGATGAACCAATTTCTCCATCACTACGAACAAGTAGACGAAGACACCAAGCTCCACCACCAATGAACACAGGTAACTATAAAATTTTGGTGAGATTATAAGATGTTTCTTCTATTAAACTGATAAGTAAATAAAGGAAATTTTGATTACTTAAACTTTTCTGCATGGTAGGTTTCTCAGGTTCCCCATTTTCCTTCCCTATTCAATCACCAGTGAGCAAGGTTTCACCTGCTCCTTCTCCATCATTCAAAATATCCCCCCACTCAACCAAAAGTAAGACAGGCTAAACTTGCATACCCATTACAAATATTTTAGAAAATAATGTCTTTTCATTATCATCTACTTATCCTTTTGCATCCATTGTGTTTGTTATTGCAAGTTCCATTACATCCTCCTAAAGTATCTCCTTCTCAACCTCCTTCCAAGAGCCCTAAGAAGCCAGTCCTGCCTCGTGTTCAAGCACTGCCACCCCCACCTCCCAATGAAGGTAAGTGCTCTATTTGTTTTATCTTTAGTAAAGGAACTATGTCTGCTAATATATGTACTTTTTGCTAACTATATTCATGTACCTGAAATATACATGTCCATTCTTCATTTTGTAGATTGTATATCAGTGGTTTGCACAGATCCCTTGACAAACACTCCACCTGGAGCACCTTGCAAATGTGTCTGGCCCATGAAAGTCGGTCTCCGCCTTAGTGTTTCTCTGTATACTTTCTTCCCTTTGGTTTCAGAGTTTGCTTCTGAAATTGCCACTGGGGTATTCATGAAGCAAAGTCAAGTTCGCATTATGGGAGCCGATGCAGCAAACCAGGAACCAGAAAAATCTGTCGTATTCATTGATTTGGTACCACTTGGGGAAGAATTTGATAACACTACAGCCTTTTTAACTTCTGAGAGATTTTGGCATAAACAGGTTGTTATAAAGACTTCTTACTTTGGTGATTATGACGTGTTGTATGTGACCTATCCAGGTATATATAAATTTTTTAATGTCTTGTATACTCTTCATGACTTTCCTGGTCAGAAATTTCATGTAGTCCTCTCTGGATATAGGTTTGCCTCCATCTCCTCCTATACCTCCTTCAAGCATTAGCATCATTGATGGTGGTCCATATTCGGGTGGTGGCAATAATGGTAGGACAATAAAGCCTCTTGGGGTTGACATACCAAAGAGACAGCATAAAGGTGGACTTAGCAAAGGCATAATTGCTATTATTGCTCTTTCAGCTTTTCTAGTAGTTGTTTTATGCTTTGCTGCTGCTTTGGCCGTGTTCAAGTTCAGAGATCATGCGAGTCAACCAACATCAACCCCACGGGTTTTGCCTCCTTCTCTTACCAAAGCACCAGGTAATACAAATGGTAGTGTCCAGTAAACTAGAATATTTTTCCCTGTTAGAAATGTTGTTTTGGTTGATCATTTAAAACAATACTATATTCTGCCCCAAAGAAAGAGAGAGAGAAATCACTGTATTTACAAATTACAGGCCATATTTTTAGTACTTATTTCATCTAATAGAATTAGAAAAACAATGGTAGGCAGAATTCTATACATAAAAAGAAAAGTCCAGTTGAAATAATTCAAATAAATAATATCATTTTCTTGAGCAATATATTTTAATGTTAAATATTTGGTGTCCATAATTTGAGTGTTTCCTTTTGTGCAACATTATGTCAATTTGATTGTTTTATTATATATCAGATTTTTGATTAAGAAGCAAACATATGAATTTCACAGGTGCTGCCGGATCATCAATTGGAGGTGGGCTTGCTTCAGCTTCAACATCATTTCGATCTAGCATTGTTGCTTATGCAGGATCTGCCAAGACTTTCAGCATGAATGACATTGAGAAAGCCACAGATAATTTCCATGATTCTAGAGTGCTTGGAGAAGGTGGTTTTGGGCGTGTTTATAGTGGCACCCTTGAAGATGGAACAAAAGTGGCAGTCAAGGTTCTAAAAAGGGAGGATCATCACGGTGACCGTGAATTCCTATCTGAAGTTGAGATGCTTAGCCGGCTTCACCATAGAAACTTGGTTAAGTTGATTGGTATATGTGCAGAGCTCAGCTTCCGGTGCCTGGTTTATGAACTCATTCCAAATGGCAGCGTGGAATCCTATTTACATGGTACTTAACTCCTTTTGATTCAGTACCAAATATCATTACCATTCCAGTTGTTTAGTTCTTTAACATAATGGTTATTCTTATATTTGATCTTTTGGCAGGAGTTGACAAGGAAAACAGTCCACTTGATTGGAGTGCTCGGATAAAGATAGCTCTTGGTGCTGCTCGTGGACTGGCTTATCTACATGAAGATTCAAGTCCCCATGTTATACATAGGGACTTCAAGTCTAGCAATATCTTGCTGGAAAATGATTTTACACCAAAAGTATCTGATTTTGGATTGGCCCGGACTGCAGCTGATGAGGAGAACAGACACGTATCAACTCGTGTCATGGGAACTTTCGGGTAACAGTTCTTCCTTTCCTGTTTCCATTTTGGAAAGTTTTATCTATAAGTTATCTCTTAACCTCAGTACCCTTTACTTTTTGAAGTGATTTCTTAGCAATTGCTTCTGTAGTCATTTATATCAAGAATTTACAATATTTTGAACTTGTATACTGTCTGAAATAATTTTTGACTAAGATTATTTTTGAAGAAGTGGAGGTATAGCAATAAATAGAAGCCAGTGCTATTTCTAGTAATTTTATTGTGGAACTAGGTATCCACCTATATCCTGCTTCTAGATTATCCAATTGGCAAAGTTACTAATATTAAATTGTGCCAAAAAGTGATCATTTCAAAATCACATAGGACACTAACCAGGCATAAGTTTGTTTCAGAAGATCAAACACTCTGAAGAAAAGTTGAGAGGATGCATAAGGATACTTGATCCCTGATTTGTTTCAGTCATCTAACTTCTACTGTCCGTTTTTTTTTCAAATACTGTCATCATAACCAACTCTTAAAAGTTTCAATTCATGGAAATATCTGCAGTCTGCACTAGCTTTTGTTGGAAAACTATTGCAATTCTTTTGTTGTTTTACTATTATGCATTCCCTGACACATTTTCTTCCATATTTTAAATACTAATTCAGTTATGTGGCTCCGGAGTATGCAATGACTGGCCATCTTCTAGTGAAGAGTGATGTCTACAGCTATGGTGTTGTCCTCCTTGAGCTTTTAACTGGAAGAAAACCAGTAGACATGTCACGACCACCCGGTCAAGAGAATCTCGTTGCATGGGCTCGTCCATTACTCTCGAGTGAAGAAGGATTGGAAGCTATAATTGATCCATCTCTAGGAACTGATGTGCCTTCTGATAGTGTGGCTAAAGTTGCAGCCATTGCTTCAATGTGTGTCCAACCGGAGGTGTCAGACCGTCCTTTCATGGGCGAGGTTGTCCAGGCTTTAAAACTTGTGTGCAATGAATGTGATGAAGCAAGAGAAGCAGGTTCAAGTTCTAGCTCTGTTGACTTGAGCAACTCTAGACAACTATCAGATAACGTCCAAGGCCAATTCTCAGGCACCAACTATGATTCTGGAGTTGATATTGAAAACGGGCTGTTGGCATCAGAGTTGTTCAGCTCATCTGCAAGATATGGAAGGAGAGTGTCTGGATCATTCAGAAGACATTCTTATTCGGGTCCTCTGAGTACCGGGAGAAGCAAGCGGTTGTGGCAGATAATTAGAAGGCTTTCTGGTGGTAGTGTGAGTGAACATGGAACTATGTTCAAGTTATGACCAGGTTCCAATTTCTCTCTGCATATTGCTCTCCCTCATTTTGTTGATGTGCAGTTCACAACTCTGCTAGAGGCATTGCTCCTCCCTTTCTGAGTCCTTTGAAGTTTGACAAGAGAATACAAGCAAGGTGTAAATAGGTTTTGACATGCTTTTTCTGCTAACCTGCAAAACCATATGTATGTAAATGGTACTAACTCTTTGAAGAGGGGAAGCAATGCAAATCTAGCTTGGAAATACATGATGAGTTGATGACTGAAGAGGACCTTTACTTAGACCTCCTTCATTGGCAAATACAACATACAAAGTATAGTCTTTGCAGTTACAGCATCAATAATGTAATGTTCAAATTGTCAAATACCTGTGGGCAGAAGGGTTGCCAGTAGAACATGATGTATCAGGAATACATTTCTCAATTTACACAGGCCAGTCACACTTTTCAAATATCTTTATGATTATAGTTTCGGATGTTTATAACTTCAATGACATAGTGTAAGAACTAATAAGTCACGTGGAGATGGGACAAAAGAACAAAAATAAACAAACTTAGACTATTCCAGGCAACCTGTCGCAGGCATGTACCCTGGCCTGCATAAGGTCTGACGAGCCAAATTTGGTTATTAAAAATAGGGGTGGGTATGCGGACCGGTCCGGCCCGTTTAAGGCCCGGTCCGCGAAGTCCGCATTTTTAACGGGCCGGATAAATCCGGTCCGCGAAATAAATGGACTTAAATCTTTAAGTCCGTATCCGGCCCGTGAAGCCCGCGGATAAACGGATAAGTCCGCGGGCCCAATTAAATCTAAATTGTTTAGATGAATATTGACTCAGATTTTGAATTTCTTTTCCTTTATTTAACCTATGAAAACATGAGGAAAAAAAAACATATAAAATGATATAAATATACTTCTAATAATAACATCTAATAAATCAAAGTATTAAATAACAAAAGTTACACATTCTAAATTTCTAATAGAAATATTTAAGTCTCAATGCCTTTAAAATTTAAAGTCCAAGCATACCAACTATTAACCAAATATTAAAGCATTACTACCTTAAAACTTTAAAAGTCTTAATACACAACCAAACAAATATAAAACACTTGTAAGTCCAAGTACATCAAAGTCTAAATACCTTAAAACATCAAAGTCTTAATTAATATCTTAAAAACAAACATAAAATATTTGTAAGTCCACATTTAAACGGGTAATCCGCGGGCTCGCGGATTAAATCCGCAAAATCCGCGGACTTAACGGGCCGGACCTAAAAAGTCCGTATGATTATACGGATTAAAAAACATGGGCCCGTTATCCGTGAAGTCCGCGGACTTACGGACCGGTCCGCGGACTCAAGTCCATATACCCACCCCTAATTAAAAATACTATTTTAGTGTTTATACTTACTTTTTCTTTTAGTTCTTAAAATAGACATTTTAAATTCTTTTTAGATTTTATAGTTTAAAATAGATCATTTTAGTTTTTGTGCTTATAATTTTTTAACCTTTTTAATCTTTATAGTTAATTTTTTTGTTACATTTTCTGTTTTGTGTTATGTAATGGAGGTATTCAATGGAAGAAAAAATGCTTCAACAATAGGCTTTGCAGATGAGGATAGACAAAAAGCACGAAGGATTAAATTTGATATCAAATATACAAAGTTTAATTAATATATATGTCAAGTTAATACAAAAGGAATAATGTTAAAAAAATAACAATAGAGATTAAAAAGATTAAAATAATTGCAAGTATCATAATTAAAAAAATATCTTAAATTATTGAAACTAAAAATGATTGAAAAATATAAGTATAGAGACTAAAAAACATAATTTAAACTAAAAGAACTAAAAAATAAAATAAGTGAAACTATGGAGACTAAAAAAAGTATTTTAAATTTTTGTTTTAGTTGGTTTAATTGAAAAGTCTACACCTTATGATACTTAAACACATTTGTGGTCAATTAAGTCATCTTGTTTAATACTATTTTCATTCCTATATATAAAACTCGAATATCTAATTTATTAAGATTAATAAAAATAGTTAATCTAATTGATAATAATAAATTTGCCTTATTTTTATATTTTTTTCTAAAATTATCCTTGTACTACTTTTTTTTTAAATTAATACTCACCTCTCTCTTAATCAATTAGAGTGTATGTCATATACTATTTTTATCTCATAATTAATGTTTTATACTTTTCTACCTAATTAAAATGCATGTCTTTTAAAAAGGTCTATAATTAATGTATTTCATCAAATTAAGAGAATATGTTTTAATTAGGGGTATTTTGATATAAAAATAATTAATATATCAAATATTATGAATCGAGTCTTATATAAAAAATAAATAATTAATTATTTTGAATTGGATCTTATAAATTGAAGTGGAGATAGTAATAACAACAACAATATTTATATGTATACATTTTAAGCATTATTCGAATGTACCATTTTACTTTCACAAGACTAACTCAATATAAGAGTTATATTTCCTTATTAAACTAAACAAACATTAATATAAATTTTCAATTTCAATAATATCATAAATCAAAATCACCGCGGTTGACCTAGTATTGAGGTTATTAGGATAGTATGTAGAGAGTCTTAGATTTAAACTTTGGTGTTGTCTTTATAATCTTGATAGATAAAAAAACATACGGTAAAAAATCACCTTTATAGTAAATCCTACTTTAATAAGATTTAATAACTCAACTTTTTATAATATTAATATACAGTCCATTATTAAGAATGAAAATAATATAATATAATTTATATATGTTATGTTAAGAAAAACTTGAAAACTTGGTGGGGGCATTTGCCTCCATACTCTTGGTCATAAATATGTCCCTAATTACAAGAATGTAAAGTAGTTTTATATTGTCATACAAATAATATGAACTACTTATTAGTAGAGTGGTTCTTTTTCTTTGAGTGTTTTTGGAGACCATGATTTAAAGTGAATTAGAAAATAAGATGAGTGATTTGTATAAAATTGAAAAAAGTTAAGTGTTCGCGGGAAAGTGATTTGTGAAGAGGTGGATCCCGTAAAGGAAAAAAAAACCCTAAATAGAGGGGATTTGCATGGAATTTCAAAAAACAAAAACTTATATTCATTATTTTTTTTGTCTCATTCTACTAAACAATAATTGGATATAATAAAAATATGATTTTAAGATACTAATTTTTCTCTATTTCTTACTTTATTCTTCTTTATCAAACAATTACAAATTTCACTCTATTTCCTATTAAATCAATTCTCGCCTATTCTCTCTTATTCCCTTTCATTTCTCTCCCCCCCCCCCCCCAAAAGAAT